CAGCTACATAAGGTGGAAAAGAGTTAGAATTTATGGCAGTACAACATGTAACAATGAAATTTAGTAGTAGTATCAATACCTGCAACCATTAATGTGTTTCTTTCCATATTGTCAACCCTCCTTGTCACCTTACTCAGAAACCGATCAAACTGTCTTGTTTCTATGCCAAGCTGAACTTCCATTGCTTGTTTGGCTGCCATCATCCTCGGTTTGAACCCAGAAAGTGTGCATGACTTCTGTGTATCTGCATATCGCAGCACCAAATAGAGTGGTTTCAGTGCATCTACTACCCACTTCAGTGCAGACCACCATGTAGAACTTGTCAGGCACGCTTCAGTGTACTCATAGTACTCATCATCCTTCCAGTCACTGTCCTTCCAATCTTGTGAAACCATCCAAGCTCGGAGATATTCTTTCTTGTCAAGGAAACTTTGGAGGAACATAAATACAATTCCAAAACGAGTAGCATTGGGTCTTATCAATTCCCCACCAATCTTCTTCTTCATCTCATCATGTAGCTTTATTATGGTTGTACAGAACCTCTGAGATAAGCTTGGCACTTGCAACAACATTAGCAACCTTCGAACTTGCCAATGTCCTTCAACATGAGGTTGATAGTGTGAGCAGCACATGGTTGCCGTAAAATATGCTTGTATTCCTCAATTAGCTTCTCACATGCTTTCTTGTAATTTGACCCATTATGCGTGACAATTTGAACTACCAATTCAGGCCAATTTTCTCAACCACCTTTCTAATTTCCTGTATAAAATCTACACAAAGACCAAAATATAGTAGAAATCAACTGCATGTTACTAACGATAAACACATTAAGCTTAAAAGTAGGTACATGCCCATCTAAACTAATAGCTTAGTAGTAAAAATTAACTCGCATGTTACTAACAAGAAACACATTCAACTTAACAACATAGGAAAAACTTAATGGAGAGATGGAAGAAAATAAATGAGAATAACAACTTACCAAAGACTTTGCTTTGCTTGTGGCGATACATCAATTGACTTCAGGAAGAACATGCGTGCATTACAATACACCATGAAGTTGATGATGGCCATGCCGGTAGGTCCTGTCCATGAGTCACACATGATAGTCACACCATACTGTTTCCAACCTTGCTTGAATTGTTCAAGAGAATTTTCAGCTTCCTCAAAGTTTGCTTCCAAGAATTCCCCGTCAATTCCATGTGATGTAGGAATCTGTGCTGTAGTCCCTAGCTGCTGAGTAAGCCTAATTGCACTCCAAAAGTACGGGCAATAAGCTTTCAGCCCAGGAATGTCATTCGCATGGAAAAACTTTGCCCATGCTTGTCCAAGCTTCTCTCTAAATCCCACTTGAAATGCAGTGTCAATTCTAGGCTGCACAGGTGCTTTGCTGCGTGCCAAATCCTTGTCAAAGTAGGCAGTGACACTCTTTTTACCAACAGAAACACGGACACCTCTGCCACTGCCACACCTCCTCTCTATTGCACGAGAAAGGTTCTTATCTCCCAATTGCTTCCTAATATCCAAACGGACTAGGTCTTCTTCATCACTTGCAAGGTCAATCACTTCCCCGTCCTTGCAGCCCTTGTATGAGATCTCTCTCAAAGCGAGCATACGTTCCTTTTTTCTTTTTTTATCTCCATTGATGCCTTCCAGTAACTCCCTCATTGCATCCCTTATGACTCTAGGCACACTGGTGCATGACTTCACTTCACCAACTATACAGCCAAGATGGTCCCTAAACCTTGTTGCACCTCCACCTTTGTTTGTAGTCCCACACTACCCACATTTGAAACCTTGGCCAGCAAGCTTTGAGCCATGCATCCACACCTTGTTAATGTTTCCATCATTATGGTCTACATTCCAGAAGCAAAATATAAGAAATTAAAAACATGGAAATTTAAGTAATAAATTCAAAATTTTGTCCAGAACAATGCAAGTTACTTTCAATCATACATCAATCCACAAACATTTAATAAAAAAATAAACCTAAAGAACAGATTTATATACAATCAGTATACTAAATTGGCAGCTAAGCCTCAGTAGTTTTGCCAAAAAAATAGAAAAAACAGAACCTGATAAAATATAAACTTCATTAATTCATCAGACCATCAGTCATCACTTCATAAAAGAATTACTTAACAAAATAACATGTCCATTGGACCATTAGTCATCATTTCATCGCAAGGATACTGCTTGCAGAACATACTTGGCATAAACTGGAAGTCTAGACAGAACATGGCACCAGTCCAAGACAACAACAAAGAGGTTTATCAAAAGATTACAGCCTACAAGACATATTTGGCAGAAACTAGAAGTCTAGAACAAGGCTGCCGGAGATTTACCTCATTTTTTATGATACAAAATAACTAATCTAACTGGGGCGTGCTTAAATATGATGATACAACATTAACAGAACCCCCACGCTAGCTATAGCTTCATGAATTGTATTGTACCACAAATAAATCAATCTATACAAATCATAGGTATGCAGTTATGATGTCCATCTCTATAAAACAGGGTACTCTGTTTTACATATACCTTGAGAAGCTGCTGCCGGCAGTGGTGCTGGTGGTGGTGCCGCCCGTGGTGCTGCAGCCCTTGCATGGCCATCTGTAGCACCACCAAGGCCAACGCTTGCACTACCCCTGGCCCTCATCTGGGTGATGCCGCTGCTACTGCTACCCGCACTGATGAGCTTCAAAAACACCAAATGGTTGAGGCGACGTACAACAGAAATCGCACAACATTCATCACGGATGGACGGACATACGTACCAGTAGCTCGGTGATTTGGTTTCGATGATGCCACCGAATGAACGACTACAACAGCAATGGAGGATTGGGGATTGGGGAGGATTTGGGATATGGTTGTAGGGGAGGAGAGTTGTGGAAGGGGAGACGATGGGGGAGGAGTGGACTGGAACGGGAGATCCGCCGCCGCCTTCACGTCCTAGTCGCTGGGCACGCGCCCGCACAAGGCGAGCCGCCGCCGCTGCTGCCGACCAGAGAGGAGGAGGAGGAAGAAATATGAAACCCTAGGGTTTCCAGGGTAATGTTTGTGCTTTTATAGCTACGGGGGTATTAGCAGGCTGGTATGGACCTTGGGTCGGGCCGAAAATTCAAATTGGGCCGAAATAATTTGTCCGGTTAAATTCTTTCTCGGGCCTGTCCGAAATGGACGAAAACCACCGAATTTCAGTCATTTCGGGCCGAATCCCAAATCCTTGAAGCGGAGTCCGTGTCGGGACGAGATCCTTCTGCCACCGCCCACGTCTCCAACTCGGCTCTCTACACCTAAAAACCGGGACCACGACACGGCCGAAACCGCCAGCGTGTGCTCCGTGAAGACGAACTAGCCCTCCGGGTACTTGCACTGGCGCTTGAGCAGGAGGAGCCAGCGCTTGGTGACGCGGCTAACAGCATCGCGAAGGAGCTCCACGAGCACGCAGACAGCACCCACCTCCACGGCCTTGGCACGCTGAGCGCCGCTGGAGCGCGCCATGATGTTGAGGAGCACGACGAGCATCACCCGGACAGGAACTCGGCCTTGGCATGCCGAGCGCCGCCGGAGTATGCCGAGACGTCGAGGAGCAGATCGAGCATCATCGCACAGCAGCTTGAGGAAGGACTCGATCAGGTTCCCTTTCCTTTTCTTTTTCCAATACCTTAGTTAACTAATTTGTAGTTACTTGTACATCCACAAATTCCTCCACGGCAGTGTTCAGACTTCGAACTGCATAGATGCATTGTTGATGAATTGATCAAACTCAAATGATAGTTAGCTCTACTAACTTACATACTATCCCATATATTAGGTGTACAGACTATCGGTCCCTTCAAAATCTAATTGAAGAAGCACTCGCAGATTAGTGTGTGTCCTCACCTTTTTAAATTCAAAAGGATCAGAAATGTTATGTTTGTTTCTCTAAATAATGGACATTTACGAACATGTTAGTATAGGGGATCACATGTGAGAAATTAGGTCGAACCTTTTCGTTCAACTAAATTATCCAACCATTATTATTTTTTCGTGCAACGCACGGGCACTAATCTAGTAAATAAAAAAACTGACTAACCTAGAACGAACTAGGTAGCATTTTAATAAATATGAATAAATAGGCACTCAAATTTGAGTCAAAGAGGGCTGTACCCACCAATTGAGTTAGCTCAAGTTCAAATTCGATGTTATTCATTATATGCTACAATTCACCAGTGAATAATTCGTTACATGGCTTAATCACTCGATTCCCCAACTTATATGTATCCAAGCAGGCATGAAGCAACTCTGAAAAGTACACTTCTTTTTTTTTGCGACGACTCTGAAAAGTACACGGCAGTTAAACTTATATGAACCCCTAGAACGCTCTCAACCCGAACCCTCACCCCCCGCCGCCTTTAAGGCTTTACCACATCGAATCTAAACCCCCAGAATCAAATGCGCAAACAATTCCGCATGAAGCGCACGAGCGAGCGCCGCGTGATTACACGGACCACATCGAGGTACACGGGCGGGGCGTAAAAGCGGAAGAGGGGCACGGACCGTCACAGGATGGAGGATACGAAGCTGACTCAGCACCGCATTAGCAGCATCCACGCTGCCGCCGCCGCAGCTGCACACAGCGACCTCGCGAGCTGGTGAGGTGAGGGAGCGAGGAGCGAGGTCTCGAGGAGGGAGAGGGGCCTAGTAGAGGGAGGTGTTGTGCTGACGCCACGAAGACGAGACAGGGACAGGATCACAGATTCACAGGAGTAGTAAGATTGGGGACGGGCCACCAAATGACCAAAAGGCCGGAGTAAATGTACACGGGCCTCTCTGATTCACGGGCCAGGTAATGGGTTCAAAAGCCTTCGAGGGTAGAAGACACGGCCCATCGGCGTGGTGATCCACATGAGGGCTACGCGCACTCGTGCAGCGACACGGCCCATCAGGATTTCGCAAAAGCAACAGAACCCACGTCGAGGGTAGAAGAGGACTGCGAAATATCCGAAGAGCTCGCGGAAATGGCGACGGTGCTGCCGCTCGCCGCCGCCTCGGCCTCGGCCTCGCCGAGGACTTGCATCTCCGGCGGCCTAGTTCCCGTGCCGTTCCTCGGAACTCGCATGCGTATCCGCATCCACAGCCCGCCGCGGGGCGTTGCCTGCGCCCTCCGACGGAGACCCTCTAAGTACAAGGTAACCAGCCTCGCGTCGCGGTGCTGCTTAATTACCTCGTCTCATGTCCCCGCTGTCCTGATTAGTTCGTCTAGGTTTAGTTATTGTTTGGATGAACCATGAATGCCCTTAGAGGCTAAAGATTGGGGGAAGTAATAGTTGGGGTAGCAGGTAAGATGTTATGATGCAGTTGTCCTTGGCCATGCACTTATTTGAGGAGGAGTTAGTGTAAAATTAGAGCTAATGCTGTCAGAGTGTCAGTTATTGCAAAATTGCCTTGGAGGATTTAGCTAAGTTCTTTTACCCCTTCTGACCTTATCTTCTACCTTAACATACTATCTACAGCTAGGTTTTGAATTTTTTTTGTTTTCTTTATGTTCCTTTATGTATTTCTGTGAACTGTAATTGGAAGGCTAAAATTTTCTCCTTGTTACAGGCTAAAATCCAGAGTGAGGAGGATGTGGTGGCTGCAGAAGATGTCATGGATGATGATGATGACGAGGATGGTGCACTGGAAGCACTTTTCAAGCAGCTGGAAGAAGATCTTGAGAATGATGATTTATCTGTAGATGACGACGATGATGGTATATCAGAAGAAGATATGGCAAGGTTTGAAAAGGAGTTGGCAGAAGCAATTGAAGATGTCAGTGGCGTAGATGAATCAGCAGGTGGTTCGTTGCTGAGCTCTGGGGACTATGGTATTGATGAGCAAATAGATGGAAGCGAACTACCAGAGCTGAAAACCTGGCAACTCCGGAGACTAGCTCGTGCACTGAAAATTGGTCGGCGTAAAACTAGTGTAAGCAGCTGTATGTGCACTTGAGTTTCCTCTTTTTTGCTTTCCATGTTGGAAATAAGCATGATATACATTCAGCCTGTTCGTTTGGCTGTGGCTTGTTGTAAACGATCGTAAATTTCCAGCCGGAACAATATTTTTCTCTCACACAAACCAGCCTGCAAGTACTTTTTCACGAACCAACAACGATATGAACCAGCCAACCGAATTGGGCACGGTTTCGGAATAGGCAAAGCTTTAAGATAAACTATTGAACACTGTGCATTTTCTCATCCATGTGCTCTTTTATATCGCAGATAAAGAATCTTGCAGGGGAGCTAGGTTTAGATAGGGGTTTGGTCATTGAAATGCTCCGAAATCCACCACCGAAGCTTCTACTCATGTCTGATTCTTTGCCTGATGAAGCCCCTTCTAAATCTGAAGTGAAGGAATTAGAACCCCCTAGTTCAACCACTGTTGACGAGGTTGATACCACTGAAATCAAACCACAGTTGGAGCTTCCAGTGCATGTCATGAGTGCAGAATGGTCTGCACGAAAAAGACTGAAAAAGGTGCAACTTGAGACCTTAGAAAGAGTCTACCTGCGAAGCAAACGGCCCACGGTAACTAACATTTCCATCAAGATCGTCCAGACTGCTCAATAGCTTATCATTCACTTACTTTATTGCATTTCATGCAGAATACAATGATCAGCAGCATAGTTCAAGTGACAAACCTTCCACGAAAGACCATTGTTAAGTGGTTTGAGGATAGAAGGGAACAAGATGGGGTCCCTGACCATCGTGTTGCATTCAAGAGATCCCTATCTGAGATTGGTGCTAGTTCATAACTTCTTCAGATAAGCCTTTGTTATAGTGTTCACTTGGAACCCTTACGAACATGTAAATTTGAGCTTTTAAAGTATGACAAGTTTTGCAAACTCAACATGAAGTATCTTTTAGACTGTAGCAATACTATCAGATCAGCCTACCCCAACTTGCTTGGGACTAAAAGACTTTGTTGTTGTAATACTATCAGATCAGCCAATGTGACAGGTACAACTCCTAACTGTCACTTGCATTTCAATTGGCTTCACTCAGGACCACTATTTTGACTATTGGCTTCGGTAAAAGTTACTTTGAGGTCTTTTGACCAGATCTTGAAATGTTGAATGATAAATGCTCATCGATTCTTGCACAGTCTTGGCTTGGATCAACTCTCTGCTGGGGAGCTAGGCATTTCACATGATCTTTGTCGTAGCCTGATTTCTGTAGGACATGTGCCTGGTATTTTGTTTATTATTTTTATGCAAGGGATGCAAGATATCCCAAGTATTAGTGTTTAGGTGAACCAAAAGTGAAGCTGTGTGACAATCAATATTTTGTTAGGAAGAGTCAGTGACAGCGTAACTGATACCGTGCATAAGAAGCATGAAGTAGTGTTATGGCCTAACCAACCAATTATGTCGTCCAACTAGCTAATTATATAGTGACTGTGCTGGCAGTTCGCCACCCTTTTGTTTGTATATGGTCAACTAAACCTGTTTTCAGAGCTGTGATTCGATGTTCATATAATTGCTTGAATCTTGGGTTTTGGGTAGGTCAGTTATAGTCTGTACTTCTGCCTCTGCTACCGTGCAGCACCTAACTTTGATAGAAATATCTTGCTGTTTTCAATAAAAGATGGTAGGCAATAATTTTCATTGATCAGGTGGTAGGTGCATCCAGAGAGATCTCTTGACACTTATTTAGGACTATATCTGTTCTATCTCTATGGTGGATCTTTTGTTATCGTTATGAAGTCTTTACTATTTAGCAGTATACATGTTGTAGAGGTGTTGGTAGCATATGGGAACATGTACAGCTTTGTAGTGAGGTATGAAGCAACAGAAATGCTTGTGAGGCTCTTGTGATTAGGATATACCAGAAGTGAGTCTAGCAGAGACGCAAGAGGATCGATATGCAAGAAAAGAACAAGACAATAATAATTGGTAGTTTATATGTCAAATCTTTATGAACTACCGTAGTCTTTGTTTTCCTCAGACCTGTATAAAGTTGTTTGGCTGTCAACTGATAGTCTGGTACCAAGAGCTGAGTACAATTGCCATTTGCCTTTGTTTCTTCCCTGGGCCCTCTGGAGTCTGGACTTTTTCTTCACTTGTACTGGTCCATCATTAACCAAATTTTGGTAGAGATCCTCGATATCAGAGGTTTGTAACCAATCTTTGTCAGATACGGTTAACGTTATCATGCTGACGCATCATACACCTTAAATCTTAATGGATTCATGTTCTATCAATTATCATCATATCATTGTCAAACTCTACAGTGGAATGTAAAACTGTTGAAGAATGGATGCATATTTATTTTCTGGTAGCTGATGCATGCATGTTTTCTGGTAGCTCTCAGGCAATTGTTTACCACTTGTAGTGCGTTTGGTGATGTGCATCTCACTGCTTCTATGCACTTGTCTTCTCTTCCTCCACATGCTCACGGTGTGAAGTAAAACCTGTGGCATGTGCTGCAAAAATAGAAAAAGCATGTGCCTAATATTCTAATCTGATGACTTCTTGTTACTGTTCTACATGCAGATTAAATATAATCTCTGCAGAACCCAGTTAGTTACTGGAAAACAAGCCAAGGGCCTAGGCACCTTTCCATTGGCACCGGTTGTTGACTGCTCTGCTGTCTGCACACTAATGGCAGTCTCTGTCCATTTTACATATACTAGTCCATCACGCGCGCCCTTACGTGTATCGGTTATCCAACCAAAGATACAGCGTAGGATTGAACAATCATCTAATCTTTAGCAACTGACATGACAAATATTCAGGGTCGTAGCATGAGGATGGTATGTACATATATTTTACAGGCTAACAAGCTAACCCACGTAACAATGTAGTTATATATACAGGCAGTAAGATGTAGGCCTGAATTGATAAGGTGATCGTTTTGCTAAAAGGCACCTTAGGGAGTAAGGCAGAAGGCTATATCGCTAAGCTGATCGCTTTTTAGAAGCTATTATTACAAAGCAAAAGACACAATGAGGCACTGTACTGCTGCAACTTATATACAGGGAAAGGGCATAGCAACTAATATTAGCTTAGCGGTACTCCAAAAAAAATATAGAGATAATTTTTTTATGTTGCTACAATGGAATCTGGTGAGGTGATCTAGCACTTGTCTTATCATAAATCACAATGAAAACTACCAATCATTAAAACAAACTATAAAGGAGATAAGAGCTGAAGCAATAGCTATAAGGTGAAAGCAAAATACACCATAAAGCACTGCATAGCTGCTGCAACTTATATAGAAGCAAACGGCATAGTAAGTATCAATAAGTGGTAATCCAAAATTTGGACCTACATCGATAAGAAGCCTCGGAAATATTTATGTAATAGTTTTAGCGAAGCACAAACCAGACTGTAAACCATCAAATACTGGCATCTTTGCCGAGAAGGGAACCAACAGGAAGGAAATATGGCAATATAGAGGACACCACACTGTAAACCATCCACTACTAACTTCATAAATCACAGTTATCTCTTGCAACAGTAACTGCAGAGGACATCACACTATAAACCATCCAGTACTAACTTCTTTGCCAAGAAGAGAACCAACAGGAAGGAAACATCGCAATACAGTTTGAAAATTTAGCTGAACACTTCAAAGTCACACTCATAAATCACAGTTATCGCTTGAAATTAATGGAATTACAGTTATTAGAATTAAGAAGCAGAACAACACCATAGTGCATAGATGTAGAATTGCACACCATTAAAGTTACCAAACTGACCTTCACGTGTGAATGTGGCCCAGATGCTAGGCTTTCTTCCATACTCTGCAACTGCACATAAGTTCCTCCAATACTTTTTTTTCTGGTTCCCTTTTTTCTCACCTACCCGCAGAATATGTAAAGGTATCCATCACCTTTTTTTGTGTGCAGAAAGCAAAATCCTACAAATGAGGAAAAGGTAGGATACAGGGATGCAGAAATTAGAAGTATACCTAATATTTTTTGGCTAAATAAAGTCTACATCAGAATCCATGGTTGGACTGAAGCAAATAAAATACTTGTTGAGGAAATAAGACAATTTAGTAGGTCACAAAACAGGTTTTTTTGGAAAAAAAAAGTAGACCCAGTTAGGTTTTTTAAGTAACTGAATAAAAAACCAGTTCAGATCATTCATAGATTCACGCAGACAGCCACTCAATTTGTTGGGAACATGCGTGTTTCGAATGGAACGATCCCGAGAATGACAACCGATAGGTCCAACTGTAGTTTTTTGTTATCTGCAATCTTATGTTAGTAAACCTAAGGAACTAAGGCATATTTGCCGGAACCTTTTTTCCCAGTGCAATCATATTTGCACAACCAAGATATAACTACATTGTTACGTGGGTTAGCTTGTTCTGCTCCACCATGTCCTCCATCATGTGGACTACATCGACCTGTATGGTTGTATATACCCAGTGAAACAAGCAAACAAGCAAAGGATCAAAATCAGTTGGATGGCATGAGGGAAGAGACCAAAGTAGCTCAACCCTGTGGTGTAGTCTCGTAGCATAAGCAGCAACCCACAGCCGGTGGCCACCACGGCACCACACGACCGGCACCCGCCGGGTGCCGGGATTCAGGAGGACGAGGACTAGAGGAGAGCTGCTGCCTGTGAATACGGTTTTTCTTCAGAATGCTAGTATGAAGTATAAATGGTTAGTGTAAGCAATTATAATTTCATAAAAAATGAATACTTTAAACAACTATAATGCTTTCAACATTCACAGGTATGTATGCATTTTCTATCTACTATTATCATTTGCCGAGAACTCATGAACCATCGCTAGGCCTGAGACCGTAGTACTGAAATTAAGATGCTACAATGTTGCGGTACTTTTTTTTAGTAGAAACCGATTTAACAGGTGTTCCTATCTCCTATGGGGCTAACTCACATAGTCACATGCCGAAGCTTTTCAGAGAATGCAGTGACCGCCTTTTGAATACGTTGCAGATAACATAGTTTGTTCGCATCAATGTCCCAAACCTGCAAACAATGTGCCTTCCAGATTAACAATACATGCATAAGTTATGAGGAGAGACATTTTCTTCTTTTTTTTCCAGAACACAAATCGTATGTGTAAGCAAACTACATCCATACATATAGAAAACAAAATCAAGGGATCAGAGACAAAAGGTGGCAAAGGAGATATAGGGTTTTTTAGGTTACCGTAGCAGGACCAAGCAAGGTCAGGGAGGATGAAATAGAGCAGAGGATGCAGCTGGACTGGCGTCGGTCGCGTCAACGGGGCCGGTCACGATGCAGGCGGGGTCGGGCTACGCTGGGTGCGTCCGCGTCAGCGGAGGGCGCTCGTGCAGCCTATGCGGGGCCATCGCGGCGGCCGACGGCTGCATTGACGGCTCCCCGCGCTAGTGCGCCGCTCGATCCGGCCGCATCGAGCGCTTCCCACACCGGTACGGCACCTGATCCGGGACGAGAAGGGAGAGGCAGCGATAGATCAAGAGACGGAGAGGCACCTAGGGTTTCCTGTTGCACAGGAGCAGGCGCGCAACATCGGTAGGAGGCCGCCTGGGCGTGCTCGCGCCGGTGCGCCGTGCATGGGGGCGCCGTCTCCCCGCCATAGGAGGGGCGGAGCAGGTGCTAGAGAGGGCGCACTACCGGCGTAAGCGATGGGGAGGGGCGGCGCTGTGAGAGGCGGAGGGGCGGCACAAAGGAAGGAAGACGGTGGAGCGATAGTGATGAGGAGAGAGCGGAGGAGATGAGGCAATGCCGCGGACAGGAGCTGGAGCGATGGGAGGTGATGAGATATTTTCGTGGACAACCATTTACTA